TTTAGTGTTTTAATCCATCAAGATGAGTGGATGAACTTAAAGATGGAATGATCTTGAACTTGTAATCCAATTTGGCATTCCCCCCCCTCTTCTCTTTTTCTTTTAATCAATGAAAATCTTCGATATCGTTTGAACTTATTCTAAGTTCTTGATGAAGATGAGATCGTTACCTATTTTCTTTTCGTGCGGCATTGCTTTTGGAAAGTGATCTACATATCACTTCTCTAGCATGCATTAGCACTAACATTGTTATTGACCGGCCTCAAATAGTCATGGTTTCTACATAAACCCGATTACGATTGCTTAACATAGCGCTAAATTGTCCCGTAATCGGAAAGTGATCATTCGTGGCTCAAACATATGTTTGAAAGTCCAAGTATGATTGATTATTTGTCTTAAGTCCATCACCTATGAAACTTATTGTTAGGAGGCTTTGATTTTATCAATCCTCTAATGAGTCTTCATCAGCTTTGGCTTAAGTGCTTGGGTTAACCATCGTTGATCATTTGCTCTAACGACTAATCATTAACTCACTAACGATATCATTGTACTAATTTTGTTTATGCTTCCTTCTTGCTCCCTATCTCACTTTTATCTTTATGCTTCATTATTATCATCTCATATCATATTATTTTGTATGCTTCCGTTATTTTTCCTTTGTCCGTTGGACACATGTTTATGTTTCCGCCATTTTTCTTTTGTCCACTTGGACCATATCTTGTTTAAAACACTAATAAATGATTAAACCTCTAAAAACTTGGTACTCTTAACTTTGTGACTATGCTCTTGGACTATTTTTAGACCTTGGACCTCTCGGACTATTCTTGGACCCTTGGACTTAGAATTAGGACTCTTTCCCTATGCTTGGAGTATTATGGATCTTTGCCTTTATTTGGCTTGTTCATTTGCTTATGCTTCAAGATGGATGGAATTATTATTTGGCTTGCTATGGAGTGTGCTATAAGTTGGTTAGATACTTATTATCTCTAACTTTTATTTTGCTTTCTAGGGTAGTCACTTCATCTCCTCCCCTTCTTAAATTTTCAAAATCTTCTCCCTCTTTTAAAACCTTCTTGTTTTGAAACTTAAAATTGCTTTCACAATAAAATCTTGACTTTTGTCAAGTGATTTTTAAACTTTGTTTTTCTTAATAAATGTCAATCAATGTTAATCATATTTTGACCAATTTCAAAAAGATATAAAAAACACTTTATCTCATTCAAACTTTTTTGTGCCTTTGTGCACTTTCCATTTTAAAACTTTTCATAAAGTTTAGACATGAGTCATTTCCATAGTTGAGATATAATTCTCCTATTCTCCATAGTATTAAGATATTGACATTTTCCACATAGATGCTGAGTGATAGACTTGTTGATAATCTAAGCAAAATCCTTCATCTTTAGGTGATGCAAATGTTGTCTCATACTTGTGGGAGACTAGTCATAGTTTTCTCCTTAAAATGACGATTTATCTTTACATTTAAAATCAATAAAAACCAACAAATTGTTTGTTATTTTTACCACGGACTACGAGGTTTTGATCCTATATTGCACTTTGTGGGTATGTAGGCATGAGGCGATAAGTATCTCCAAACACAAAAATCTTAAAAAATATTTCTCTTCTCATCTCCTCAATCTCTTTTCAAACAAACATTTTTAAACCAAAAAGCGTAAATATTTCAAAGGGCTCCTATAGAGTACTATAGACGTTTTGGGTGCTAACACCTTTCCAATGTGTAACCAACCCCCTTACTTAGATCTCTGTTTTTGTTCTTGTTTTAGAATTTTTAGGTTTTGTTCGCTCTTTTTTCTTTCCTTTTTTTTGGGATAAAATAAAAGTGTGGTGGCGACTCTTGCATTTTTGAGTTAAGTTAATTAATAGCTTACACTCACAAACTTCCCCGCTACAATTGCCTCATTGAATTTTGCTTAGAGAGGGATATACAAATAACTCCATTTGTCCTTGTATTTTTATAAAAAGATCAGAAAAAGAATTTGCAATAATAGTTGTCTATGTGGATGACATAAATATTATTGGAACACATGAAGAGCTTTCAAAAGCTATGAATTATTTAAAGAAAGAGTTTAAGATGAAGGACCTAGGAAAGACAACATTATGTCTAGGTTTGCAAATTGAACATTTGGATAAATGAATATTTGTATATCAAGAAGGCTATATAGAAAAGGTGTTAAAACGCTTCTATATACACGAATGTCACCCGTTGTCTACTCCAATGGTTGTTAGATCATTAGATATGTGGAGAAAGATCCTTTCAAACCTCTAGAAAAGGATGAAAATATGTTTGGTCTTGAAGTGTCATATCTCAGTGCAATTGGAGCACTAATGTACCTCGATAATTATACATGTCTTGGTATATCATTTTATGTCAATCTATTAGCAAGACGCAATTCTTCACCTACACGAAAACATTGGAACATAGTCAAACAGATACTTCGTTACCTTAGAGGTACAATAGACATGGGTTTGTTTTATACCAAAGTATCCAGATTCAAATTAACAGGTTATGTAGATGCATCTCTCAATTGAAAGATTGTTACATCAAAGGAGACCGAACAAAACACATATCTCCAAAGTTCTTTTTCACTCATGTCGAAGAAATGATTGTTCAGTCTCAGAGCTACGTGGCCTGACCAAACATTGTTTTCAACAAGAAACAGACTCAGTATTTCCCAAACCTTTGTTCCTTAGTAGGAGCTCGTTTACCACTCAAGCCTAAGTATTTGGTTCAACTATTTTATATGATTTATCTTATATTTTAAATTCAAATAATTGTAGTCTTTTTTCACTTTTTTCACCGAATTTAGATGTTGTATCTATTTTTAATTAATAACTTAATTTATAAAAATTCAAAAAAAAAATAATTATATAATGATCTATCATATTTAACAAGTGATATATCATTTTAAAATAGACATATATATATTATTAATTTTAAATATAAAAAATAAAAAGATAAAAACAATTTGAATTTAAAACAAATGAATAATTTTGTTAATTAGATTAAATTAGGAGTTTAATCTATATATATACTAATGGTATAAAATAATTTTACATAATCGTCTAGTAGAAAACTATCATTTTGCCATGTCAAATCAATATTTAACTTATGAATGGATACTATCCGTGTATATTTCATTTTTCTAAAATCTCAAATTTTAAAATTATTTCCTTTATTTCAGAATGATTGTTGTTTTAGAAAAAAAAATATTTAATACAAAATAAATATCATTATCACTTTTTCAAGATAGAAATAACTATTATTTTAGAAGCCATCTTAGTCATTTTATGTTGTTTTAGGTAGTTGTTGTTGTTTTGAAGCTGTTTGACTGGATCTAAGGATCACATTTGGTTTGTATTATTATTTGAGATTTAATATAAAATTTTTTATTTCAAAAAAATAAATTATTGCTATTTTTTCAATTTTATATTTTAATTATTACTCTATATAATATTTTTAACATAATAATAAAGTTAATTTAATAAAAATGTAATGTATTATGATAATATTATTGATATTTTAATGTATGCAAAATCCTTAAATGATATTCATTTTAATTAAATAAATTAAATTATTAATCATTTTAAAAAACATGCACTAGTCAAATGGATCACTAAAACAAGAAGTAAAACAAAAACATATTAGACACGTGTTTCATATTGCAACTATATTTAATATTTTATTTTATCTTATCCATACATTAAATATAATTAAAAAAACAATTTTAAAATGAAGGATAAAAGAACAAACTTAAATCCAAAATTTCATAAAGATGCTCAACAAAAACAAAATGTAACACGCGCGGTATCAAACTCTGTTTCACTCGCCATCACACAAAAAATCCACTGCTATCACTGTTTTGCAGCCTTCACACATTCCACGCGTTTTCGATCGTTAGATCAATTTTCAACGGTCCAGATTTCGATATAATTTTAATTTACTTTAAAATAAAATATTGAATTTTAAATATAAACCATCCGATTCTAATCCATCGGCTATAAATGAGTTGAATACGTGAACATAGAAAATATTAAATGCAGAAAACCTGATCCAACCCAAATACTTTTAAGAGTTTAAAGAGTTTTTTTTTATATAATTTATTTTGAATATATATATTCAACGTATAAAAAATAGAAATATTTGATTTTTCTAAATAATATTTTTTTATTTAAAATATTTAAAGAGTATTTGAGAACACTTATTAATATAATCCGTAAATAAAAATCCAAAATCCGTTCCTTTTAATATCCACAATAATTAATTTATAATAAAGTAACCGATTTTAACTCTTTGTTTTCTCATCCAAAATCAAAACATACAATTTCAAAAAAGAGTTACTACACTTTCTCTTTCTCTCTTGTCATTTTTCTTCATGGTTCTTAAAAAAAATAAAATCTTCAACTTCATTCAAAATCAATATCAAAAATTTAAAATCCAGAAAAAAAAAAGCACATAATCTCTGGATGCATTTTTCTTCTTACATTTTTCTATATAAATATTTTTCACTTTTTCAAAATTTTTATTACTATTTATCCTCTTTTTATTTTTCATTAAAAAAACCTCTTAATTTCCAAAAATAAATATAATTTATCCTTTATTTATATTTATGGTGATATAGTAAAAAATCTTTTCGTAGATGGAAAGTAGCAAAATTTTCCTGAATTCAATCAACCTTTTAGTCAAATGAGTAAAATAATTTTATTTTGTCTTTTATATTAAATAAAGATAACCAAATAAAATAAAATAAAAAATACATAAATGTACCCAATACAAACAAAATCCTTTATTTTATTTAAAATTTTCTCATTTATATATAAAATCCATAAAATCCAAATTCTCTGTTTTTCTTCTATTTCGTCAATGAGAGAGTTGAGAGATTTGTTATCCATATCCAAATATTAAACCCTTATTTTCTCATTCATTTGAGAAACTTAATTTTTCTGGTTTTTCGTTTTCTGTCGAAAATCTTTGATCGACAACAATGTCTTCTTCATCTTCCTCTTGGAGTTGCTTTGGGGATTCTCTATCCAATCTGCAACGCTTTCTTCAATGTGTTACCCCTGTTGTTCCTTCACAAACTCTACCACAGGTATTTTTATGTTTAATTATTTATTATTTATTGAATCAGTATTTGATTTATTTTTTTTTAATGTTTAAGGTGCCATTGTCAATTTTTGATTTATTTATTGGATCAGTTTTTGATTTTTTTTTTTTTAATGTTTAAGGTGCCATTGTCAATATTTTCATTCTTCTTCTTTGTTTTGTCAATTGAATTCATGGAACAGTGTGCTTGTTTCTTTGACTGTATTTTTTTAACTAGGGGCATTTTTGTACTTTAATAATATATTTTTTAATGTTATTAGTTTGCAATTATAATTATGTGATTCTGTTTTTGAAAATTTGAAAAGTCTGTATTTAATACGTGATATGTGGCGTAATAAAATCGCATAAAGTTACTGTATTCAATGAATTAAAAACTTTTGGTTTTATAAAATTTTATGTGATACTGTTATTGCAAAAAAAAAAAAAAAAAAAAAATTTCAAAGTTGTACCTGTTACAAAAATTAATTAATGAACAAAACAAGTTTTTAAATTTAATACATTAATTCAAACCTCTGGCAGTTTTTTTAAGTGGATTTTTTTAAATAAAATATGTTAAGATTTGAAAAGAGAAAATTGATTTTATTTATTATTATGAATGGTATCAGAGTTTTTGGTATTTTTGACAACATATAATCGATTTTTCATTATTTAATTATATTTTATTAACTTTTCGGTAATCTTTATCCTCAATAACAGTTTCCTAATAATAGTTTTTTTTAATATCTATAAATTATAAATTATAATACTAGAAATACATCATCATAATTAATCAAGATAATTAGTCAAGCTATATATTTTTTTAGTAAAACCATTTCTTATTTTAATTTATTTATTTGACTAAAATATGTATAAAATTACGAAAATTGACTCTTATAGTATTAGTATATGATTATACATCATTAGTGATTTCATTAATAAATCATTTATTTACACTTTTATGAAATATTATTTATTTACTTGACGATTATTCAGAATTTTTTTTTAATATCATTAATCCTTAATATTTAAAGATTTTTTTTAGAAGAAAACTCTTATTTTTATTTTGTATTAAGAACATATATTTTGTCGAATTCTATTTTTATATTATAATTTAAGATATGAATGAACTATTTTTTTAATGTCATTTTTATCAAAGATTCAAAATAAAAACCTAAAATATTTAAAAAATCTCCATTCAATTGTTTACTTTAAATTATTATAATTTATAGTATATGCACAAACAAAACGCCTTCTAATTGTTCTATGTCGACACAAAAGCTATCTTGTTTTGAAAATGACATTTTTTAATATATTAATTAAACTATTTTATACTTTCTTATTTTTTTCACATGTTTTAATGTAAGAAAATTAAAGTTATACACTTCTGTATTTTAAAGTTTTATTAGATATATTTACATAATTCAATTTTGATTATTTTTTGTTTATATTAATATATGTTAGTGAGACCTTTTTTTAGTCAAATCAAGATTCCTTATAATTATGGGGAAAAAACACCAAGTCTTCATAATTTATTGCATTGAAAAAATCCCTTGGATTTTTGTTTTGTTAGGGAAAAAATCAATTTTATTATCCTAAACTGATTTTATTTTGAAACTTAAGACATTTGAATTAGCATATAAAACAACAAAATACTCTTAAAGGAGGCTAAAACTTTCGATAATACTCCAAAAACAATAATTAAAAGAATCAAAATTGATAATAGCTTTAGATTTCCCCATGTGTATGTAGTGTGCCAAAAAATAATGGTATATGCTTTTGTTTAGTGGTCCTGTGAAAAATTATATGGTATTAGTATTATTATTTATTTATTTATTTATTTATTTATTTATTGTAGTTTTTGTTGTTTGATAAGTCTATTATTGAAAGAGATATTCATTATAGAATTTTACATTTTCAATTTCTTTGTTTAAAGTTTTTTCTAATTAGTGTTAAGATGCACATTGCATTCTTAATGTTGTTATGTAGCTTAATCAATTTTATTTTATTTTCTTTTTGAGAATTACTTAATATTTTGAAGTATTTTTTAAATTAAGTAGTGTTTTAAGTTGGAATCTAAATCTGAAAATACAATTTGATGTTTCTAAAATTTATAGAATAAATTTTTCGTCATAAGTGTTAGTAATTTTTGTCCACAATTATTTTTTTTCCACAATTGTAAAAGAGCGAAATGAAGACATAAAGAACAAGATTTAGTCGATCATGATCACTCTATAAAATTTATCTTGTATTCATCGTAAAAGTATTTTATCATTGAATTAATACAAAACAATTCAATCATCTCTTATTTTATTTGTCTCTTTCTTGAATCAATACAAAATAGATTTGTTATTTTGATTTTCTACGCTTTTATCATGTTATATTTCAGAGTTGCTCTAATGATCTAAGCCTTCAATGGAAACCTCTTGGTAAGGACACGATTGAATGCTTTACTTTGAAAGATCTTTGGAATCGTTTTTATGAATGGAGTGCGTATGGTGCTGGTACATCTATGATATTAGAGGATGGCGAAGCTGTGGTTCACTACTATGTTCCATATCTATCTGCTATCCAAATTTACACCAACAAATCTGTTGCAGCTTCTCGGTATAATCATGTTGTATATTTATATTCTAATTGTGTTACGTAATTTGATACATACGTCAAAAGTTTATTAGTCAAGTTTCCCTATTCTAGGAACCGAAGAGAGGATAGTGATGGAGTTGAATTCGAAAGTGACTCGTGGAGCGATGATAGTGGAAGTGATAAGTTGTCTAGATCATTAAGTAATGATTCAAGCAAATCTTGGGATGCTATTTCTGAAGAATCAAGCTCTGACCAAGAAGGTTCATGTCAAACAAAGGATAAGCTTGGCAACCTATATTTAAGCTATATTGAGATGTCTTCGCCTTATCATAGAGTTCCGCTTGCTTTGAAGGTAGTTTTTTTGTTGTCGTTTTTTAGCACTTAGCTTTAAGTAACAACGTCGATTAATGTATATGTATATTTCATTCACACTATCAATTTTTTTTAATTGTTTCTTGTTTCAGATACCTGAGTTAGCGAAAACCTATCCAGAGCTCATGACTTTGAAGAGTGTTGATCTTTCTCCTGCAAGTTGGATGGCTGTTTCATGGTGAATATAATTTGTTAATTTCTTCTTCATGATCTTTATAGTTTATGTAAGATGTATTGATCCTATGTCGATGATTAGGTACCCGATCTATACCATCCCTAGTCGGAAAAACGACAAGGACATGGAAGCATGCTTCCTCACTTACCATACATTGTCATCATCTTTTCAAGGTATTTTGAAGTAGTGTATTGCAATTAATATCATTTTTTCTATTAGTAAGATCCTAAGTGTTTGTAAGATTCACACGAATTTTAGAGTGTTGAAAAGGAAGTGTCTGATATTGCATGATTGATACTCTTCGTATATTTTTAATTTAATATCATATGTCTTTTAAATAGATCATTAAAAATTAAGATCAGATACATTAAATTTTTAAATCTTTTTATTATTATTTATATTTCACTCTGGATGGTATACTCTAATATCTTTCATGTGGCTTAAATCAAATATTTTGTGATGTTAAGCTTCATGTTAGTTTTTATGTGTATATGCAGATTTTGAATTGGAGAATCATGGTATGGACATAGACAAAGACAAAGATCTATGTTGTTTAATAAGTGGCTGGGAAAATATTGTAGGACATCATGATTCCAAGAAAAAGAGCAAAAGCTCAATTTCTCTACCTCCATTTGGGTTAGCCACTTACAAAATGCAGAGTGATCTTTGGCTAAACTCTGATCCATATGATTATGAAAGTATATCATATCTTTATAGCGCCGCAGAATCATGGTTGAAACAACTCAACATTGATCACCATGACTTTAACTTCTTCGGATCAAACTCTATCTTATAAATCGGTTTATCTTCCTTCATCAAACTTACCTTACTTTCCTTTGATTTAACCTTGAAACTAATGTCACCCGACACAAATAAAACAAGTTCACTTGGTGAAATTCTGAAAACATTCAGAATATTTGAAGTCATATATGTCAAAAGGGTATATAACTTTTAAGCTAAGTAAAGTTTTGTGAATTGGGGTCGAGTTTTCTTACATATCCTTTTTTCATATAATGTGTTTCTTAAAACAAGATGAGAGCTTGTTATAATTAGCTGAACCATAATATATATGGTATGTACTATAGTCCTTTTTTTTTAATAATTGAGCTTATGTTAGTTTTGTATATTCTTATCATTTTCTTTTAACTTTGTAGGAGAATCAAGTGAACATGTTTTAGGAGTAAACTTTTATATCAAATTTCAACCGGCTGATCAAACCAAAATAAAATAAATAAGGATAAAGTTTAAAACAAAAAATAATAGCAACAAAATATGTGAAATTTTTTTCATATTTGAAGTTTTTTAATTTTATAAAAATGTCATGAGAATTCTAAATTTTGGAATGTGTTTTTAAAGTTATTGAATTCTAGAATTTGAAAACGGTAGAATATGTGAGAAATACAATTAATACAAACACTTTATTAAATTATATGAAATTCAATGTGTTACATGTTAAACACCAACAATAAATTGTGAATAATTACAAATATTAATTAAACACAAATAAGATCAAATGTTAGACAAATTAGTTACTTTTTCATAGTCATGAATGCCACAATTTTATCAAATATTCTGGCACAAATTAAGCTTGAATATATAACACGAACGGGTTTGACCAAGGTAGCATCTAACTTGAACATGATTCTCATATCATTGTTGTTTTGAAGTTATATGTTGGTGAACTGAGCATGTCCACCATTATCGGCCGACAAACAATGATACTCAACACTAGCCACCATTCTTATGTCGTGGTGGTTGAGACAATGATTTATTTGATCTTGTTATCCCTTTAAATCATACAGTGTAATGTCAACAATGATCTTGAACAAATGGGAAGAAGTGTAGTAAACTATATTTAGGATATAGTTTCTTCTGGCTAGTATAGGTAATAAAAGTTCGATATTTTTAGGATATAAACTACAAGTGAGCCAAACATGTTATAGAAGTTGTTGTGCATTCTAGTCAATATAAAGTTTTTATGTGATCTAAACCACACAATAGAAATTTAAAGTTTAACATGTTTTAGATTATAGAATTTGAACCATACGAAAAACTCCTCAACATGGTTTGAATTATAGAATTTTAATTATAATGAAACCTCTCGTAGTGGTTTTAAATTATAGAATTTGAACCATACAAAACACCCATGAGCATAGTTCAAACTATAGAATATGAATTTGTATGTGAGAATAATAGAGTGCATTTTTTTTTAATTATTAACAACACATTTAAATTACACCAACATAAACAATAACATAACTTGACATCAAAAAATTAACTGAAAGAGGGGCATCTGAACTAGTGCATAGGCAATTCGAGAACAACAAAGGGACAAGAGTGTGCCACTCGCCTCGCCCCCAAGGTCTCTCTAAACTATATCACTACAACATTATTTGAAAATACATTTTAATAAAAAAAAACTTATTAAAAACAGTCGAAAGTTAATTTTTCTAAAAATGCAATATTCTAAAATTCATAAAAAAATTGTAACTTTTTTCTAAAGAAAAAAAAAACAAATTTTCTTTCGGAAAATAAAAAAAAATGATTTTTTTTTTTATTTTTTAGGAAAAATATCAAAATAAAAGTTTAATTTTATTTTATGAAAAAAATTATGTGCTAAAAATTAGTTTTTTTTTTAAATCTTGAAATTAAAAAAAATGTTTAAATAAATGTTTTTCTTGAAAAAATAAAAAATGTTTTTTCCTAAAAATAAAAAATCAACTTTTTTAAATATGTTTTTTTTTATTTCTAAAAACAGAAAAATATTTAAATATTTTTTCTTTAAAATTTGATTCTAAAAGAATTCAAAATATAAAATTAGTTTATAAACAAACTGATTATAGATTGATTTATAAGTAAAAACAAATTATAAGTTTGATTTTTTAATTGAAGTGATTATTGAAAATTGAACTAAACTATAATGTTGTTTGATTTGCTTCATGAACAATAAAGACTTGTGATTCAAAATGAGATAATGTAAGAATTTTTTACTCAAAAGTGTAAATGTTTGAAATAACAAAGTTGTGGGAAAAAGAGAATCATGACCGTCTCAACTAACTTATAAGCCATGTTATAAATTAAAAGAAAAAAACAATTTTTTAATAAAATTAAAATAAAATAAAAATTATATTTCTTTTTATAAAAAAGGCTAAATAAAAAAAACTTTCGGTTTTATGAGATTATATTATATACAAAATATTAGCGGTAGACCCGTGAAGACGCGCGGATAAGTTGATTCTTATCTTAAATCATTTAATAAAAAAATTTAACATTTGTGGCTCGTTTTTAATACATCTTTATATGTATTAAGTATTAACAATAAATGATAAAGTTTGAATTAAAAAATATCAAGATTAATCATCTCAAAAATAATTATTTAACTATAGTAATGATCCAGCATACATGTGCATCCGCGCATATAAATTTATCTAATATAATATAAAATATATTTAAATAGATATGTAAATTTGAAAAAAAATACTTAAAAACAAACGATATCGTTATAATAATTATGCGTGAGGATTTGAATAAACATTTTAGAACATTTTAGAATATACAGACTTTTTATAAATAGACGAGATATAAATAATTTTGTATTATACAATTATACTATGAATCACAATATTTATGTCTTGATTTAAGGGACCCGCAAGTTATATGAAAAAATACTGCATATAGATGCAGTAATATTCAACATGTCACAGGCTGTTAATTGATGTTGAATTTGTTGCAGCAAGTAGTGGTGATATGGTCATAATATGCAACACGAAGCAGAATAATGAAGCAAAATTCTGGTTTGAATAGTGACATGTTATTTGATAATGTACCAAACAAATGCATATACATTAGTAGTTTAGAAATAGTTCACTCCTAGCATTAGTAATCAAAAGATACTATACACAACAATTTCAATTATTAATATGTAATGCAGAACAATTTCTATTTGTAGTTAATAAATAGTCCACCCCTCACATTAGTAATCAATAGATACTATACAGAACAATTTCAGTTATTAATTTTGTGCAACACTAATAACTAATTCTGAATGGATTTCAGAAAAATAATTAATATATCACTGTGTTTAATTAAATCTCCAAAATAGTTACAAACTCATTCTTCTTCATTTGAATTTGCTTGCAACACTTTGTAGCACCTCAAAATTTATCCTTTCGTTTTAACCGTAACTGACTTATGTTTAGTTCATTTTTGCATTATCATTATGCATATCATGACATTGATTCTTGAGACATAGAATCAAGTTGTTTCTATGACTCAGAGTTTTCTTTTATAAGTTTTTAAACAACAAGCATCAGAGACTTCAGCAGTTATTTTGTTTAGCAATCGGTGTCGCTACTGCGAAAATCGAGTCCGACAATGACAGAAGAGCCACCTTTCGTTATTTATCCCTCAGAACGGGAAAGGAAACGATCGGAAAAAACCTGACGAAAAGGTATAAGACAAGGTCATCGCAACCATTGTCTGGATTCGGGAGTCGGTTACGCAAGGGGAATGTATTAACACCCCTCACGTCCATCGTACTCGATGGGATCCACGCTTGTTGTGTTTATCTGACGGGTTTGTTACATCTATCTACGCTAGGGTCTGGTTTAGAAAGAAAAGAAAATGACTCGGCAAAGTATCGCACTTTATGCCTACGTATTCCCGTCTGGAACGAGAAATCAGAGTCAACGTAGTTCGCCTAACTACGGGTAAAAAGGGGGGGAAGGTTGCTCGCCGAGATATCGCATCTCGCGCCTACATACTTTCATTCGGCATAAAAGATCAGAGCAAACGTAGTTCGGGCTACGGAGAACACAGGTTTGTTCAGCTGTTTTTTATCCAAGTAATGTTAATAGACAGTTTCAGCAGTTGGTGTTTGCAGCTCGATCCTTGGAGACTTAGGTGTTACCGTTTGCGGTAGAACTGAAAGTTAACAGAACTCTTCTTTAAGAAAAGGGTTTTCCTGATTAAGGGGCCAAGAGGACAAAAAAGGATTTGAATGTTTGTTTTTTTAAGTCTTTTACGGAAGAAGTGAATTGAGTTCTGTTTGTAACTCGTGTTGCACTAAAGACTTGGACTTGAGAGTGAATGCGTCGCATGTCACCCAAAGGGTACAACACTAAACACTCGAGTTATGTGAGAGAAACCCTCCCACAACTCTTTCTCAAGTAGCATAAGGCTCGTAACGCACAACACGTGTTAACCTTTATTAAGTGTTTTAACTGTATTTGAAGATGAGAAGAGAAACAGACTCTCTACAGGGAAACTGACTCGATCCTACAGTTATCATGCAATATTCGTCCTACGGTTGTGGTTAAGAGGGAAACTAACTAATGTCATCATGCATGGTTAGAATCCTAATGTCTGTCATAACTTCTCTTGAATAAGAGAAGTCAGAGTTCCTAGGGGAACATGGCAAAGGAAACAACAATAAACAAAAAAATTGTACAAGAAAGATTACTGTAAACAAATTGCTGTAAATAAAATGCATGCAATGCATCACACAAGCAGAAGGAGCCAAGCTCGACTTCTAAACAAGCAAGGCACAAAGGCCACACACCACACAGGCAAGGGAGCTGAGCTCTACCAAATACCAGCAAGCAAAGCCACACAGTAAAAATACAAGCAGAGGGAGAAATTCAACCTCTAATGCAATACAAGCAAGGGGAGAAGCTCAACCCTTAAGATGCTCTTAGGCCTATGATAATCTACATGAAGCATAAATCTAATGCAACACTCCAAGCAAATCACATCAATACAGTTGAACCAGAAGAAAACAGACAAACAGGGAAAACA